TTCATGTTGTTCAAGGGTCAACTGTAATTGCATTACAGCCCCTCAGCTTGAAATAAAAATCCCAAACTGAAACAAAAAAATAAAAATAAAAACAAAAAAGGAGTTAGGAATTATAGTAAAAATGCCCTTGGGGACAACCAGAGAAGAAGAAAGGAGCCTTTTGATAATCATTCTGCAGTGTCAGGTTAAGAGACTCGCACTGACTAAGAATTAATTACCTTTTCTTTTTTTCTTACTGGGAACACCTATATATGGTAGGTAATTCAAATCTTCCACAAATGATAGAAAACATTCCTCTATACATTTGTTAATGTTAAAAATATGAGTCAGCTAAAAGGAACCTCTCAAGTAAACAACAGTAGCAATAAAGAGAAAGGGGATGTGCCACTTAGGAGAGCACAAGGTTGGGCAAGCAAAACCTCAGTAACTGGCATTTCATTGAAGGGGAGTTCCCAAGAAGAGCAAGAGCCACAGTGGCTTTTGAGCTGAATATTGGCAGGCTGGCATATGGGAGTGGGGAAAGAAAGAGTCCAAAGGGCCGGTTCCCAAGAGGGACTGAGTTCTGCACTGTGCTGTGGGAAGGGGGATACTCTCTGCACCTCGAGGAAGCTCCTTGGCTCAGAGGAACCAGCAGAATTGGTCCCAGTGACCCAGGAAGCCATTCAGAAGGCACCAGGAGGACTCCCACCTCCGTGATTGACTAGGGTTTCAGCAAGAGGGGACACGGAGGCTCCTACATACCTCAAAATGTCTGGACACTGCTGCCCTTAAAACTGATGGGTCAGAAATGTTATAATTCCACCTAACAAAGAGATTTACTTGTTGCTTTCACAAAGAAAGGTTTTTTTTAATGTATATAATTTTTTAAAGTTTATTTATTTTGAGTGGGAGAGAGAGAGAGAGAGAGAGAGAATGGGGGAGGGGCAGAGAAAGAGAAAATCCCACATAGGCTCTGGTATTGTCATTGCAGAGCCCAACATGGGGCTCCAACTCACGAACTGTGAGGTCATGATGTGAGCTGAAACCAAGAGTCAGACACTTAACCTACTGACCCAGGCACCCTTCACAAAGAAAGTTTGTGATGAGCAAGATTTGAGGTTAAAATTGGAAGAAAGGGAACATAATTTTTCACGTCCAATCCTCATTCCTTCTCAAGCCAATGTTACTACCTGATAGTAATATACCTCTTGTTTTTGTCCCTGTGATTAGCTAAGCTAAGTAGCTGGCAGAATTCTGATACTCTGCCCCGTGCCACTGCCACTGTGGTAACATATGTGTCCTATATAATCCCCAGGACTATAGTGGGCAGATTGCTGAAAATGCATCACTCACTCCCCGCAGTATTCTGTGCCTGCATTCCTGGAACCTGTGGCTAGGATAAGAAAGTCCCATGATAATGTTATGTTATAGGTCATAGTTGACCTTAAAAGAAGATAATCTGAGTGAGTCTCATCTCTCACTACAAGAGCACTTAAAGCAGAGAATTTTCTACCACTAGTGGCAGAAGGAGAAGTCAGAGAAATTGAAATCATGAAAGAGACTCGATGAACCACTGCTGGCTTGAAGATGGGGTAGCGGGCGGGCATATGACAAGGAATACAGTCAGTCTCTAGAGGCAGGGAACGGCCCCTGGCTGACAGCCACAAGGAAACAGGGACCTAAGTCTTAATATCGACAGCGAGCATGAATACTGCCAACAACAATAACTCGCTTGGAAGCTGATTTTTCTCCCAGAGTCTCCAGATGAGAGCTCAGACTTGCAGGCACCTCGATTTTAGCTATGCGATAACTGTGAGCAGAGAATTCAGCAATGACATGCTGGACTTCTGACCTACAGATAATATGAGCTAATAAATGGGTGTTGTCTTAAGCCACTAATGGTAATTTGTTACACAGCATTAGAAAACAAAACCACTGTTCACTGAATTAACTCTTCTCTAGACAGAATGTGAGGTAGTCCTCCAGCCTTGAGTGTATCTGAATTTCCACTCTATGGTCAATCCACAAGACAAATAGATCAATACTCAGGCATTAGTAAACAGCTCTGGGTTATTTATGATTATGTAGGGAGGGGAACGCTGGGGAAAGACTGGAATTTCTTATAATTTGGCATATAAGGGACTTCAGTTTTATTTTCATTTGGGTAAAAAAGAAAATCGGATCTCATTTTGAAGTAATTGGCTGGTAAAACCTCACAACGGTGGTTAGTATTAGAATTTCTGGCAGCATATGGTGCCAGTCTCTGAAAAGGAAAGACCTATGAGAGTGTTCTCTAGTAAAAAGAGAATGATACCTCAAGTCAGGCAGATTTGAGTAAGTTTTACTGACAGACAGCTAACTGTCTGATCATGGGCTTATAGGAAATTTTCTTAAACTTGTTGAGCCCCAGTCTATCTATTTTAAAAGAGGAACAATACCTACCTAATAAGATTTGGGGAGAATTAAATGAAGTTTAGTTCATGTAAAATCTCAGTGTCTGCAGCACAGCAGACTATCAATTAATTTGTCTCCTCTACTGGAGTATAAATTTTTTCTCAACTTCCTTGTAATGTTTTTAAAGTAAAAGTAACTGAATTATAGCATACTAGAGTAATGCTATCTTACAGAAATAAAATGCATGCTACACATTTAATTTCAAATTTCCTAGTAGCTACATGAAAAAAAATTAAAATAAGCATATACAATTAATTTTAATAATATGCTATTTAGCCCAGTATGTAAAATAATGTCATTTTAACAGGCAACCAATATAAAACTGTAGTAATAATAAATTTTACTTTTAACTAATAAGCTAAACCTTCAAAGTTGTTTATATATTTTATACTTACAGCACATCTGAATTCAATACAGTCATGTTTCAGATGTTCAATACTGGCACATAGCTATTGACTATGGTATAAGACAGCTCAGTACTAGATCTCTAAACAAACATTTCAAAAAATTCTCCTTTATTCTTTCTTAATTCTAAAATAAACATGAATAGGTGATAAATAGATAATTATAGATATTGCAAACACACATGCATATACATTACACTCTGGCATAAACTAAACAGATATTTTTGTTTTTGTTTTTTTAATTCATTGGTTCTTAGTTACAACGAGTTACACTTCAATCAGAGAATTAAGGTATAAGTGGTAAATGTGTTTCTAATTTCAAATTCCAAAAATACTACAAATCTGGGGTGTCTGGGTAGCTCAATCAGTTGAACATCTGACTTCAGCTCAGGTCATGATCTCCCAGTTCGTGGGTTCGAGCCCCACTTCGGGCTCTGTGCTGACAGCTCAGAGCCTGGAGCCTGCTTCAGATTCTGTGTCTCCCTCTCTCTCTGCCCCTTCCTTGCTCATGCTCTGTCTCTCTCTGTTTCGCAAAAATAAACATTAAAAAAATTTTTTAAATACTACAAATCAGAGCTATATAGCCAAGTAAAGTAAGAGCAGGCAACCATGATAGCCTGGTGAAAACAAAATACTGTCTTACACAAAAAAACACAGGTTGACTTTTAAAGTAACTTTAGTAGAGGGATGCCTGGGTGGCTCAGTCGGTTAAGCATCTGACTTGGGCTCAGGTCATGATCTCACAGTTGGTGGGTTTGAGCCCCATGTCAGGCTCTGTGATAACCTCTCAGAACCTGGAGCCTGCTTCAGGCTCTGCCCCTCCCCCACTCATGCTCTGTCTCTTTCTGTCTCAAAAATAAATAAAACAGTAAAAAAAAACTTTCAAGTAACATCAATTTAGGGTTATATATTCATTTCCTTTGCTTTTTCTATTTTTTACATTTTTAATGTTTATTTATTTTTGAGAGAGAGACCATGAGTGGGAGAGGGGCAGGAAGAGAAGGAGACACAGAATCGAAAGGAGGCTCCAGATTCTGAGCTGTCAGTACAGAGCCTGATGCGGGGCTCCAATTCATGAGCTGTGAGATCATGACCTGAGCCCAAGTCGGACGCTTAACCGACTGAGCCACCCAGGCACTCCTGTTGCTTTTTCTTTCAAGATACTAGACTAGACTTTTGGATTCTACACAAGCTTGTTTCTTCTTTCTAAGTCAGTATCTCCATAATTGAGAATGAGAACTAAAGTACATTGGAAATGGTGGGGAATAGGAGTAATACACAGTAGCCACCAAAAGACTCACAGAAAACCTGTAACACTTCTACTAGGATCCTCAAAGATGATTCAGACAGTAATCTTGCCTTTAGAGTGGATACACTCAGGGAGGAAAAAGGAAAAAAAAATCACAAAAAAAACCCACCCAAAACCAACAGAACATATCCAAACATGGGTAATACAAGGGAGAACACTGAAAGAAACTGAGAGATCCCAAAAAACATACCATGAGTATATATAAGAACAAAATCTTATTCAGTGGCAGTGAGGGAAAATTTTCTAGATAGGTATCCTACGTGAGAGGTTTTTATAAATGGTCTTTTTATTTTTAATGTTTTAATGTATTTTTGAGAGAGACAGAGTGTGATCAGGGTAGGGGGGGAGAGAGAGAGAGAGAGAGAGAGAGAGAAAGAGAGAGAGAGAGAGAGATTCAAAGCAGGCTCCAGGCTCTAAGCTGTCAGCAGAGCCTGACACAGAGCTGTAACTCAAGAACTGCAAATTATGACCTGAGCCAAAGTTGGACGCTTAACCAAAGGAGCCACCCAGGTGCCTCAAAAGTGGTCTTTAAAGATAGTTAATAGGGCTCCATGTAATTCAACAGAAATATGCTGCCTACCTACTATGCAGCAGTTCCCATAGAAAGCAGTAGAGATACAGTGATGGAAGTCAACACTAAAGCTGTTGGGCTGGGGATGGGGAGTAGAGGAAGACAAGGAGAAACCAGAAAAATGTCACAGCTGTGGATTCTAGCAGCTGTTGGCTCTTCACACCACCTCTGACAGCCCTCTGTCTCTTAAGTCTTTCCAGCTTCTGCCTCTGGTACCCACAAACAACTTCTTGAGTCTTCTCTGTTTCTGACCCTCCATGTACAATAGAACTCTTGGTCTTACCTTGTTCGCAGGCCAGCCTGGCTGTGGGATGAGTTTCACCTCTGACCCCTGCCTTGCAGCCAGATACAGACCCTGCACACCTTCGCTCTGGCTCTAGCTGTGGTCAGGAAGCTGCTGAATCGAGAAGCTGCCACCACAGCTTCCGGCTCCAGCGTTACTCTAGCGTGAAGAGGAAGTTGGGCAGAGTTCAGTAAGTATCACAGAGATAGTTTGGGCAGAAGACGCCTCACTTAGTCTGTAGGGATCCAGTAAGGATTCTTAAAAGATCAGACGCTTGAGGGGAATTATCCAAAAATGAAAGGATCAGATTTTTTGGCATGGAAGAACCAAACGAATGAAATAGAGGAGTGATGGAGAGAGTTGGAATTAGGGAATGAATGGAATCAGAGAAAGCGGCTATGGGCACAGAGAGGAAATGATGTTGGACCTGCAGAACGACACTACATTGTACTAAGGAGTCTAGCTTTATACAGAATATGATCATAAGTAGTGCAGTAAGACAACACACATGAACGGTATTGCTTTAAGAATAAAGTTTATGTATATGGCCGTATCGTTAAAGTATCACGTATAACCTTTGAACTTCAAAATATTCCTGCTTCTTACTTCCTTGATAAGATCCATATAGCATTGTTTTTTCATAAAGGATAGTATGGGAAAAGCTGAAATGGAAATTTTTTCAAGTTTATTTATTTATTTTGGGAGACAGGGAGAGAGAAGCCCAAGCAGGCTCTGTGCTGTCAGCGCAGAGCCCAGCACGGGGCTCAATCCTACCAACCGTTAGATCACGGCCTGAGCTGGAATCAGAGTTGGGCGCCCAACCTACTGAGCCACCCAGGTGCCCCGGAATGTAATTTATAGTATCTACATGATTGTTTTATATTCATCTGTGTAAGTTTTTAATAAATCTTCAGTATTGTGGAGATTGACTTCTTGCTGGTTTATTTTCCCTTACTATAAACAGTTTTGTATTAACTACAGCTACCTCCTTACAAACAGAAATTGCACACACCTGAGATTCAATGGGCATTGTCAATTTTGTGAGTTATTCTGCTATTCATGTATTGTCTCCAAGACCATTTTTACCCCAGTTTTCTCTTCTCTCATAATAAGGATTTGCATACACTGCTTTACTAAACAGTAGATTAAAGGGGGCACCTGGGTGGCTCACTCAGTTAAAGTGTGACTCTTGATTTTGGTTCAGGTCGTGATCTCACAGCTCATGGATTTGAGCCCCAGGTCAGGCTTCCTGCTGTCATCTGTCAACCTGTCAGCACAAAGTCCACTTAGGAACCTCTGTCCTCCTCTCTCTCTGCCCCTCCTCCACTCACTCACTCTCTCTCAAAAATAAATAAAACATTTAAAAAAATAGGAAAAAGGAGGCAGATACCTTAAAAGAGAAAGAAAATTAACTTTTTTGAGAGGGGGATGTTAACATTTTGATCATTTGGCAACTTCATGGGAATTTAAGTAGAAAAAACATAAAAGATTTCTTAAAAAATAATTACTTTAGTAAAAAGAATGATCTCCACACTGATTTCTTGGTTTAGAAAAGTGAAAAGAGGGGCGCCTGGGTGGCTTAGTCGGTTAAGCGTCCGACTTTTGCTTAGGTCATGATCTCGCGGTTCGTGGGTTCGAGCCCCGCGTCGGGCTCTGTGCTGACTGCCAGCTCAGAGCCTGGAGCCTGTTTCAGTCTGTGGCTCCCTCTCTCTCTGACCCTCCCCTGCTCACGCTGTCTCTCTCTCTCTCTCCTAGAAATAAATAAAACATTTAAAAAAAATTAAAAAAAATTGAAAAAAAGAAAAGTGAAAAGAATGGAAGGAGCTTTTTACAGCTTTTTGCTCAATGTTAAGACCTGCCCAACATATTCTTTTGCCCACCAGGAGATAATTTCAGTCCTACTTCCATATTTCATTAGCTAATAAATTGTAAATCAGTAAGACAAATATATAAAATATTAAAATAAGTCATCTATTTGCTAAGAATCCTGACAAACAGCTATAGTGCTATTCATTATTTCTTCACATCTTTTCCATTAAGTCTTGCATCAGAGGTTCTAACCAGTGTAGACCATAAGGTTTAGCAAGAAGGAAATAAAATGGTCAACATTTGATTCTGTTTACATGGGAAACCCAAAATAATCCACAAATTGGTAAGATGTCAGATGTATGACAAAAGTTAGTTTCATTCTTATATGCTAGCACCAAATACCAAATGACAAATGACATTGTTTCCGATTTCTTCATAGCCTTGCTTCGAAGTCAGTAAAATGATGTCCTCAAATAACTCAATGTCCTCAAGGGAAGAAAGTGTGACTCAAGACATATTATACCTGGAAAATTACTACCAGGTGTAAATGCAACAGAAGTACAATTCTGAATACAGAAGAATTCAGGGAATTCTTCTTCAACAAGCTACTTTGGAATTTAATTTCAGCCAACTGAGAGATAAATGGAGAAAGTGGCCAAAGGGCAAAGTATGCAATAGTATATTAACAGTGAAAATAGAACAAAATAAAAGTCTGTGATTAAAGAAAAAATATATAAATGTCATAAACTCTAATGTTACAGTAATGTTATCTTTAACAAAAGTTGGCACAGCAAGAAAAGAAAGTATAGGCTCAAATAATATGTATAAGAAAATTCATCTGCCATTTTTTATATATATATATTTATTTATTTATTTATTTATTTTGAGAGAGACAGCATGAGCAGGGGAGAGGCAGAGAGAGAGAGGGGAAGACAGAGAATACCAAGCAGGCTCTGAGCTGTCAGCACAGAGCCCGATGTGGGGCTCAAAATTCATGAGCTGCAAGATCATGACCTGAGCCAAAATCAAGAATCAGAAACTTAACCAACTGAACCACTCAGGTGCCCTGGCATTGGAATTTTTAAAAATCCTTCCAGAAGATTCTACTATGCACCAAAATTTAGGAACCACTGCACAATGGGAATAATGATCATCTCTCTCCTGTTTAAGCCTCTGTTACCATGATAAGTACAGCAAACACTGTTGATTTCCATAGGTCTCAGCGCTGTGAATAAGGAGATGGCAGTGGTAACAATCCGTATGTTAAATCTTCTATGAGACAACTAAGTTTTTTTTTGTTTTTTTCTTCTTCGTACGATACAATGTTTTAAGATAACAGTCTCAGAAAGAACAGGCTGTTCTTGACTATGAACCTTGCCAACTGTCATACAAGTCATTAGCAAAGTTTACTCTAAATAAATCCAATCAGGATACCCTGTACCCAGAATATCCCTATCACTCATGGAGACAGACAAAAGAACAGTAAGCACAGTACAGACTTTAAATAAATACATTAGAAAACAAACAAACAAACAAACCAATCCCAGAAATAACCTCCTTTAAGCTCTGGTATCCAGCAAATTCAAGAATATTTGGGGTCTCTTCTTTGGGATGAGAGGAACGGACAAATAACAGGACCTTGTCCTTTCTTTCCTGTACCTATAATTTTCTTATTCCATGCTGGTTTTGCTCCTCAGCCTATTTGCTTGTCTGAGATTTTGCTCCAGAGAAGCAGTAACATTGGTTCCAGATATTTCTATCAGCCCATCAGGCTGGCTGCAATTCTGAGCCGTTGGGAGCCAATATCTTTGCTTTTTTTTCTACATTTTCTCTGTATACTATAGAAACAGCTCCTACCTTATTATCATTTCCCCTGTAATTCTGAATCACCAGCTTTTACCATAATGAATATACATTCACATGTATGTTTAGTTTTTTGGTAGAAAAAATACCCAGACTTTCTTTTCAGAGTGACTTGCATACTTTCACATTTTGAAGACAGTAGATCTTGGTGCTGTGACCTAAACCTAAGGGCTTAGAGCAGATTCCTCAGCAGGCCCTCTTTGCTTCTGTGATCATGGAAATCTGTGGCCACTTCATTCACTCCTAGGTTAGCTGACACCTTGGCCTTCTGACCCCTTGGGCCTTAAGACACCTGGCCCAACCTAATTCCCATTTTTGAAAACGTTCTTTCGTGTGCTTGAATGAATGTTTTCTGTAGTTGTGAGTACAGTGTTTTCTATATTGCAGTAAGTCAAGCTTGCAAATTATATTGTTTATATCTTCCTTCTCTTTTTCTGTTTTTTTAAAAAATATTTATTTCTTCTATCCCTATCAAAAGAGGTGGATTCATATCACCAACTATGATTTTGATTTTGTCAAAGTTCTGTTTTTGCCTCTTGATTGTGGAGGCCAATGTTAAGTCTATACAAATTTGGAATTTTATATCCTGCTGGTGAACTGGATTGGTACCTTTTTTTAAATTATTCTTTTTTATTTTAAGATTTTATCTTCACACCCAACATGGAGCTCAAACTCACAACCATGAGGTCAAAAGTCACGTGCCCTATTGACTGAGCCAGCCAGGTGCCTCTGGACCTTTTATTATTATTAAGTGTTTCTCTAACTCGAGTAGTAACTTTTCATCTTAAATCCTGATATTATTAAAACTACATCAGCTTTCTTTCAATCAGTACTTGCATGGTTTAACATTTGGCATTTTTTTGCTTTCAGCTTCAAGATCTCTACTCAAAACAATGAGAGTTTATTGAATTTTAATTTGACAGCCATTTTATACACTGAAACTCTCTCTCTGCCCACTGTTTTCTGGCTTCCATTGTTGTTGGGATCTAACTGTGGCTCCCTTAAAGGTATGCACTGCGGAGATGAGGCTGGGCAGCAGGAACTCCAGTCCAGAGCAACCTTTCCCAGATCAAAGTCCTCTTTCTCATGAATTGAGATTATGAGCCTCCTTGGGCCAACCCAGAAACACAAACTTGATTCATCAGAAACGTTAATGTTGTTTTGACATTGGAACCTCTTCAATTTCACCAAGAATTTTTGCTTCAGAAATGAACAAGCACTGAGAGCAAGGTTGACTACATAATTTTGTGCCCTGAACAAAATGAAAATGCGAGGCTCCTTGTTTAAAATAGTAGGAATAAAATAACCCATAGTGGGGCACTGGGGTGGCTCAGTCAGTTAAGCGTCCAACTCCGGCTCAGGTCATGATCTCACGGTCCATGGGTTCAAGCCTCGCGTCGGGCTCCATGTTGACAGCTCAGAGCCTGGAGCCT